ACTATACTTTATCTCATTAAAAGTTATAATAAATTACCTATGAGTAACCTATGAATTTGCTGGTTTTTTTGTACAAATAAGGAAATTGAGTCTTATAAGAGGTTTAGTGAATAGTCTAGAATTCACCTAAAGTAAAAGTTTGATTGATATAAGAATTTTTTGATGTGACTGCATTTTTTTTATAACTTAAGATTTAAGTTTAGGCTGTTTAGGCTGCATGATCTAAAATGACTTTTCATGTATTAGTTAAATTGTGTATACTTCCAGCAAAACCTCCCTTTGAGGTGATCACAATAGGTGTTTTATGAATATTTTTTCACTTTTCTTTTGGTAGTTGCATTCTTGGTTATTAGAATTGAATATATTAACAACTTATTGAAGCATCACACAGTTCCCTGACTTTTTGCAATTGAAATTATGGCTTCTTGAAGAGCTCCTCTTCTTTTCAGTTATAAATACGCTGAACAGCATGCCTTCAGACATAGCTGAAACTTGCCAGAAGTGGGAAGCCATCACTATCAACATGGTTATTAGTTCGCATTTACTAAGTGCCAATAACATTTTTGGTATTATAAATTCTCAGAGACAGACTCTATTGATTTCCAAAAAGATTGGTTTTTTTGTATGGTGGGAGAGAACATTTGGTCTTGAATGTTCTTTTCCTGTTTGGAGGTCAAGGTGGGGAATGTCCAGTCATCTTGCGTCTCATTATACATTCTAGAATGCCACTCTCACCTGTTTATTATTTAATGATATATATAGTGCAAGGACTAAAATACATATATTTACACATATATATAAGGCTACTCTCACCTGTTTATTATTTAATGATATATATATAGTGCAAGGACTAAAATAAATATATTTACACATATATATAAGGCATATACAAAAGGTACATGTAAATTCAATTTTTGCTGGAATATTTTTATATAGCTTTGATAGGGTCAGTGAAAAAGGCACAGGCCCCAAGATATTCAAGTGACTGTAGCTTTTATTTCCTAAGATAAAGATATAACATTTGTACTATGGAGTATGTGCTTAAAATATGTAGAGATTTGTTTATGTAAATTTGTTTATACAAAAGTAATACGTAGAAAAGAGGGAGCACATATTTTAATTTGACAATTGGAAAATAAGTTATTCAGGCTCTCAAAAGTATAGAAAACTTCCTAAAATTTTTGAACAAATAACTAATGCTCATAAATGATTCATGAAAGATTCCTTTTAGGGCCTTATCATTTCTAAGCCTAGAGGACTTTTAATTTTATTTTACCACAAATATTTAAGCAGCATTGATACTAGGTATAGGTTATAGCAGGTTGTGATGATGACAGAAAAATATACCTTACCTCTTTGAAATTAAGTGAAACTTAAGAAAAATAGATGAGAATGAGATAAATCATTATATCCTCCACATTAGAAAAGTGATTAAAGAGTATAGGAAAAGAAACACTAAAGTTTAGAGACTAGGGTGTGGCTTTATTATGCTGTTCTTTCATTAACATAAAGGTATAACAATTTCTTTTATACTTAATGTGAAGGAAGCATATGCATTATATTCATTGACAGGACTGAATGAAAATGGAGTCTTGAAACTGACAATTCAAAGATAAGAATTTGCCTAGAAAGTGATAATTCTGTGTTCCTACTGTTATGTTTCTATGAACATTTTTAAAGGGACCAAACTCCCTTTTTCAAAGGAAATATTGAAATAAAACAGGTACTTGACCTCCCTTTTGCCCTCCAGTTGGCCTGAGGCAACTTGGTAAAAGTACAGGGTTCTCAGGATTTTAACTTGAAAAATATCACCCTTGAGAGCATAACCCCTTGGACATGGCATAAAATGACTTTGTTGGAAAAGGACATGGAGACATTGGTTAGTTATATTTTTATTGTGATTCTGATTGTATTAAACAGTAGTTGACTAAAATGTTGACGAGAGAGTATTCTGCATTGCTGTGAGATTTTAGTTTTCATTTTATCAGTAAATTAATGTTCTAGTTATTTTTTATTGTTGTTACATCAGGCTTGTATGAGGATGTTTAATGTGAGCCCATCCCTGTATGACTTATTACTCTGGTGCTTGCTGTGGGATTAAGGAGGGAAAAATAGACAAATACCAGTCTTTGCGTCCATAGAACTGGTGCTACTTCATGACTGTGGAGACCACACCAAGTTTGTGTCAAGCTATGGTGTCCTGCCAATAATTAGAACTCCTTTATTGATGAAATGATGGGCCTGGGATCATCCATAAAAGTAATATTTTGTGTTTACTTCTGGTATTCCTTAGATATTCTATGAAAGGATGGTTATCTGTTAGTAGATATGCAAGATTCTTGAAAACTTGTTTTTAAGTTAGAAATCAATTAGTTTGACCTAAATATTTTAAACTAAAGATCACACACTTGTAAATTATTGATATATATGGAATAAAAATACTGGAAATAAATTATTTCTCTTTTCTAAGCAACCCCATTCACACATACTGCCTCGAGTTTTCAAAGTTCTCAATTAGGATTATTTATTAATGTGTAGTCTTGACTCAGTGAAATGTGAAATAAATTATATCTTTTCTTTGTTATCCCTCAAGTAGAGAGTTGGCTCTTCTACAATTTTTCATTGTTCTCAGTTGTGTGCCTTTCCATTCTAATTTGTTATACCTTACTTTAGACAGTTGCAAATATTAATAGAAATTTTTAAAAAGAATTCACTTTAAAAGTATTCAGTTTAAATTTCCTTGTGGTTTAAATATCTTTTAACTCGAATCTCCTTTAGTAACCAGATGACTAAATCATTTGTGTTTTTATTTTTTAAAATGTTTTGCATATTTCATTGCCCACAAATAGAAACGTAGCTAACAAGTTTGGATGTTGAACTGTGTGATAATTGAGATTCACAGAGATATTTTGGTATCATTATTGGTGTAACATTGAAATAAGAATAGAGTAGAATACAATAGGCTAAAAACTAAAAAAAAAAAATCAAGCCACCATGTTTATTACAAGGCAAAATGAAATTCTGTATCACTCTTTATATCCATGTATTTGTTACTTTTCATGGAGACTTCTTATTTTATATAGTGTTAAGGATAAAGTATTGATTTTGAAAAGGGCTAACATCCATCATCATCACCACCACCACCACCACCATCACCATCATCTATCAACTAATCTGAATTCTCTTCTAGATCTTCTGCTAACATGACAATGCTGATGATGATGAGCCAATACTCTCCCTTCTGGGTATTTATCTCCAAAATGAGCATTATAAATATCTTACTCTCTTCAGCATGATTCTGTGAGGTTAAAATAATACCTATAAAAATAATGTATTAGAAAGCAAAACACTAATGCAAGGTGTATTTTAGCAGTAGTAGTAACAGCATCAGCAGCAATAGTAGAATAGAGGCACCTATAGTATAGTGTTGATGCATTCAGACTTTGAAGTCAGTCATGACTCAAACCATGATTTTGGTGGATGGTTGATCTTAGACAAGCTACTTAATAGCTGAATGCCTCAGTTTCCTTGTCTGTAAAACAAGGCTAATAACAGTATGTACCTAGTAATGTGGTGAAGATTAAATGAGGCAAACTTGTAAAGCCCCTAGCCTAGGGCCTGGGACATTGTATTGTTCCTTGCTCTTTGATACTATGTAAATATATAATATCAGATTTTGAATGTGTGATGCTTGATTCAAAACACATTAAAACAATTAAGACTAAAGTTTTCTGGTTCAAATCACAAATAACCTTATGGGAAAGATATATTCCCTTTAGAAAAAGGAGGTCATGAGGACATTGCCTGAGCTGCAGGAAATCCCAGCAAATAATTTCAAATTCCTGTCAAGCTGTGGTACCATCTTTCTGACCCTCCAAGTTCAAACTGCTTTTAAAGGAATCATTCAGTTCTTCCTCCCAGGAATACTTCCATTAGTATCATCATTTGATCACAATGAAAAATCCCCAAATCAGGGTAGTTTTCAAGATGAATTTTTTTTAGACTTGGTGTTGAATTTGTGGAAAAATGTGCCCTCCTCCCCATTTCTGGGTAATATTTTCTGCAATGACAATGCCTTACTGGGGAAATCCTAACTGAAGATAATAGCATGATAGATTAAATGTCGCCAGTATTCCATTTAATAATAAGCAATTGCATAGCAGGCTTTTAAATACCTAAGTTAAAAGTGATATATTAATATTGAGTACACTGTTACTGTAAAGTCCATTCTCCTACTGATTTCCAACAAACACCATTTAAGTGCCAACCTACTATTACAAGAGTTTACTATTTTATTCTTGCTCCAAAATGGCATCAACAGTGATGGGGTGCTTTCAGGGGATTGTTGAATAGAATTTTTGCAACAAAGGGGCACGCTTGAGGAAATGCAAACTATTAACTGTAGGCATTGAATGCTTTATCTTGGCACTCCCCAGATCTACACACCCCCTAATCAAACAAGCAGCTTTATGGCATGCACAATTACAACTGACTTGAAAAGAGGTATAACTGACTTCCGCAAAACTGGTTTCCACAGGATTTCCTGTCCAAAAATTACCCCCCTGTGGTCTTCTGTAGCTAAATGGTTACAGATCATCCAGTTAGCAAGACATTCCCACCCCGGTGGTTGTACTTTTCTTTGAAAAATGAGTGGATGTGACCAAACCCTGTCATTTGCAAATTCATTCTGGACTTCTTTTATTCCCTTTTCTTTCATTGGGTAGGAAGGAATAACAAAACAAAAAGCAAACAAACAGGCACCCTCCCTCTGTAATGTCTGTTTATTCAAGGTGTCCTTTCCCTGTGAGGTTATTTACAGGTCTCCTGCTTAGCTTGTCTTGCCTGGCAATGCCTGCGAGCATTCTGCTGTTTCTGGGAGTGCTGTTCCTTTAACCTCCTTTGATTTGCTCTTCCTGGGAGGCGGTTGCAGTGTCTGGGAACCCACCTAGAGGGCCCCCTTGACGCCAGCACATCCCCTGTCAGGCAGCAGTCTCTGCAGCCGAGCGGGCTGCTGCAGAGTTAATGTACAGTACCACGGAGCCTGCAAGTGTCCTGCGCTGCTCAGAGCCGGGCGGCACAGCCCAGGGCAGACGAGGCGGCTGCGGCTACGGCGATTCCAAAGGTTCTGCTGGAAATTCAGCGCTGGGGGACCCCAGCAGGAGCCTGTTGCCATTGTGTTTTAAAAGCATGCAAGGTCTGTATAGCTTGGGCATGAGAATCTTTCAGAAGATGTCAGAGCATCAGAGTAAATGACACCTATTGGGGACCTGAATTGGGGGTGAGAGAGAGAGAAAAAAGAGAAGAGAAAGACAGCGGGGGGAAGAAATTCTTAGACAACGTCTGACCTGCAGCTGTGAAATTCATTTTCTTTCCAAGGCAAAATATGAAAAGCCCACACATGGTTTTGATAACAACAAATTAAAGGGATTTCTGCAGTGAAAGGATCAATAGCTTAGTCATTTTACTTAAAGAGAGCAGACAGCCTTATTATGGGGTTAGGCAGCAGAAATGAATTTCCTCATGACAGCACCCTCTGAAGTCGTGATGGTAGCTAATGGTAATCCTCTCCTGCAAGGCAGAAATTGCTCGTTGCCTTCCGACTTTTGCAGTTGAAAACCAGAAATTGTGAGATTTTGGGAAGAAGTTGCCTTGGGCTTTACATGGTTTCTAGCCCCTCTGCCCAGGTCTTTGTCCGACACGTCTCAGAAGGCAGCACTGCGTTAAAGTGACCACATATGAATATGTGCCTAAGAAAGAAGAAAAAGCAATATTCATTTCTAAAGGACAGCATGGCAAAGCAACCTGAAGTTTTCCATTTCCCTTCTAACACTTCTTTAACGAGGATAACAAGAAACTGTCTTTTGACTCCTCTTTTCCCACATTCCAGAGTCCTTCCCACAAGGATGCATTAATTTATACTCTAAACAGTTGGATTTTACCAGGACAATATTTGCACCATTTAGGATTAGTGATTGAACTGGCGATTTTAGTGTGTTGACTAACTAGTGGAACCTAAATGGATGGACCCATACCTGCAGTGCTCTGTGATGTTTCTTTCTTCAAATCCTGGAAGGGCTTTTGTTGTTGCTATTTGTTTTTGGGGAGGGATTTTTTTGGAATTCAGTACTTGTTGCAATAATTGCCCATGATAGCTGCTCAAAGAGGAGAGTTGGAATTCATCTGTGAAAATCACTACATGTAACATATGAGACAAGGAAAATATTAATGACAGAAGATCTGCAAACATGATGCACGTGAATAATTTCCCCTTTAGAAGGCATTCCTGGATATGGTGAGTAATCAATGTCCCCTTCAGTTTGAAAAACTCAGAATTATAAAATTCTGTGACAGGTACCAGAGGCAAAAATTATCTTGAACAAGAATATTGGTATCTCGTGAGGATGAAAGTATAACATGTTTAAAACCCAACGTTGTCTGGGAAAGTAATGGTTATGCAATAACAAATTCCTTGTTCATTTGAAAGCATCCCCAAATAAGAAGTCAAGTATGAGGGCATTGATAATTGTGGACATTTCGCAGAGAAAAAACAGACCCAACAACTTTGAGCATGGCAACTAGTTAACTAATAAATAGAAGGAAAAAGGGAGGTCTGGGATTTGTTTTTTTGCTCTTTTGTTTTCTTATATTTGAAAATTCCCTGGGGAAGGACACACATGTATTTCTGACATCCAGTATCAATTTGCCTGGCCTTAGGTCTTTTTTAGTTTCCAAAAGAAGATTAAGGGAAAACTTAGAATGTTGACTCAATTTGAAAATAATACTAAGATGTGTCGCTGACTCACATTTAAGGAATATTTTAACTCTTCAAAAGATATTTCTACCAGAATGAACCAATTTAATAAAATTCTAACGCATGAACCATGAAGTGCTCAGACTCAGACTCTCATAAAACTTGCTCAGTGCATTGATATTTGGTCATGTATTAAGGTTCGATGCAATGTATTTAGGTCCCCGAACATGTGACAGCACGTACCATTTCTTGTTAGAGTTATGACTAAATGTGTGTAGAAATTAATTGCTGAGGGTTTTATAAGGGCACACCTCATTGTTTTGAAATTACTTGTTTTTACCTCACCTTTAGGGCTGACTGGATTCAAACTTTGTGAATATATAATTTAGGTACATTTTAAGGTTTTGTGTCTAACATGGTTGGCTTTGGGTACTTTAATGTGTCTGATTTTGAAAATGTATTTCCCAGGTAAATTTTTTGAGTTGTCTCAGGATAAGTAATAGATAGAAAAATGTGGGTTTCTGAGAGTTTTCTAGCTGTCATTATGACAGTCTCAAGTGAAATCTCTCCAGTAACTTAAGACTCCACTAATATCACCTGCTGGTTTGATACAGAGGTTTCAGTTTCAGATTATTAGCTGAAAATCAGTTTCAGAGAAGGTGGGTGACATCCCCTGTCACTCTGGTCAGGTACCCATTTTCTATCAATACCAGATACATCCAGAATTGATGCTGTGGCGTATCTTCCTTTTCTGCTGCTGCCCAGAGCTACCATCCCCAGTCTCCAGTGAGCTTGGGAGGGAGTTGGGGTGACATGTCTGCAAACCTCAGTGGCCCACTTCCAAGTACATCACCAGAGTTTCTGCCTCAATGGGAGCTTTGGTGCCATCACCTTGCAGACCCTGATGGCGAGGGTCAGGCATCAGCAATAAAGGCTTGTCCTTCTCACACACTCATTCACACAGTTCTGTCCCTGAAATTAAAATGTCCTGAAAACAGTTACTGGCACGTAGTAAGCATTTGTCAAATTTGTTTTTCTTCTAATCCTTATGCATTTCTTAAAGGTTTAATTTTGTGCCTCTAGGGGGAAAAATGGCCATTTTCATTTCTATAAAGTGTACCTGGCTTTAAAGCAATTGTGTTTGTTCTACCTAAGTCCTGTTGTGTCCATTTGTTTATGTTGCAATAGGTAGAATGCATACACTCTTTGAATGCCTGACATTATAACCACCCATTATTTGTTGCATTTACCTCATCTCTTCTTTTGACTGGAATAAAATTAGCTATTCAACTCTATAGCTTTGAAGGAATGTAAATATGCTTATTCATGCTTCTATACATGTGTGTGTGTGTGTGTGTGTGTGTGTGTGTGTGTGTTTGAAAGCTGTATATAGAGAAGTTGGGAGTGCTGGAGATTTTTCTTTTGTGCCTGAAGCTAGGTAACCTTTCATTCGTTTCACTATATGACGTGCCAGTTTGTTGTGGTGGTCAAACTGAGCCGATGTGGAGTGTGAGTGCTCTGGATACATATTCTTGCCTGTCTCCTTTAGAAGGATTCATTAATAAGACCTTGAGCTCAAAAGGAAGAAGGAGGTGGTTTTTGCCAGGTGACCCAATTAGTGTTGTGTTTGGCTCTCAACTTCCCCAATAGTTGTTGTTTTTCTCTTATTTATAACCTCACCTTTCAGTACTGCAGTGAGAGATTCTAGGTGTTTGCTGACAGACACCCTTGTTTCCCTTTGTTTTACTGTAAGAGTCCCTGTTGGGTTAGATTCCATGCTCATGAATTATGCTCGAGAAGAAAGAATTTGTCAAGTTGCTCTCCTTTTAATTTCCAAAGACTTCCTTTTCTCATTGTCACATGCATGTCTTCTTCTTTAAGAAGGGGCAGGTCAGAAGTTGGCACCAGTTCAGTGCCAGGGAAAATACATATTGCAAGGGGATGTCTGCTTTGATTTCACGAGCCCCAGGTCATCTCTGTGAAGGCACTTTGTGGCAGGCAGGGTGTAGAGGGATTTTTTTGTTCTCTTCTGCTTTCTGAGGAGCAAGTAGGGGCAAAATTGAGATAGAGAAGAGCTAGGGTGGTCTTCAAAATCTTATCAGAGGTAATGACTCAAATAGAGCCTGTGTACAACACCCCTCTTAGACTCTCATCCTCCTGGGACTGCTGTCTGGATAGTTGAGTAAAGGTATGACAAATTCATTGTTTATTGGTTACAAGTTAAAGTTAATAAGTGGTCCCATTACATGTCTTAATAGAACACTACTTCTTGAGTGCTGAAAGAGTGGCATAAAGAATGTGCTTTTCTGTTTAAAGCTACATTAGAAATATTTGCTGGGGGATTTTTATTGCAAAGACTTCTTTCCATTGCACTCTTTGACCTTTTTACTGCCAAGTCAAACAAAGATAAGGGTTTGCCTCACTAGGTATGTAGTACTGAGTACTATATAACTCATCTTATTTTTTATTCTGACTAGTTCTGAGAATATGCTGTTAGTCTGGCAATTTAAGAACAGTTTTCTTGCCTGGTAGGAAAAAGAGAAATGCAAGTCAGCTTTCTAGGAACTATAATTTCATCTAGCAGCAATTAAAAAAATTGAAAGGACTTTTTAGAAGCACCATGATATAAAATCATTTAGGAGTCCAACAATAGTGTCATAAAAGAGTGTGCCTGACATGTATTTGTGTTTTTTTTTGGTTTGGGTTTTTTTTTTTTTTGCCTTTTTTAAAAGCTTTATAACAACTTTGTATACTCTGGTTTATAAAAATATTTTATGCCAGAAACACTAGGGCCATGTTGAATGCAGCTGAATTTTACATTTGTAAAGCTTGGGAGGACATTTTCTTTAAATACCTTTGCATTCTTTCCATGATGGACTCAAATGACTCAAAGAGAGGACAGAGAGAGGCAGAAGCCATGTCCAAGTCTCCTACTAAGTGAGGCTGTACAGTGCTGTTGTCAGTGTGCACTTAGGAAACTCGAAGAAGATTTGGGACTAGTGATTGTGAATCCTGGTCAACTATTTTATTTATTTGGTACTTACAATTTAATCTTTTAAAGCCCACACACCTAAATTCTTTCATTGAACATTCTCTGTGATGTTAAGAGGTGGTTCTGATTAAGAAGCAAAATGGGGTGATTATGGCATCTTGATTCAACATTGAAATTTCTTTTCTTTAAATCCTACATGCTTCTGTTGGATTTTCCCTTTTCAGGTTTCTAGTAAGATATCATTGATTAAGTCACACCTTGGTTTTTCTGTAAATTAAGAGTTCATCTCATAATACTAACTCGTTTTGTTTCATCTAAATCCTTTACAGCATGAATCTAGATATAACTCAATATATCAATAGTCTCATAATCTTGTATTTTTTGGATAAGTATATATATTTTCAAGAGTGAATCCAGCGAGTAAATAATCATAGAAAGGCAAGATGGTCTGCTTATTAATGAAAGGATAATCCTTATCAACTTCTTGTATTTTTATCTTTTAAGTTTTTCTTCTCTTCATATGTTGGAACTACAGAAATTCACCTCAGAAGAACATTTTCCAGAATGTATGTTTTGATCAACATAATAATCTTACTTGTTTCATGAGAATTGTCATGGGTTTGAAAAATACTGAGTCTGCTACCTGTATATATGTTAAAGAACTAAAGGTATTGTTTCAGGCAAGGCAATAGAACTCTGCTCATTTTTGAAAATGCTTCTAGTGTCCTTCTAGTGTCTGCGTGTCTTCTAATGAGATTTTAGTCCTCTGCTGACCTTCTTCAGTATCTTTTCTTCCTAGAAGTAACAAAATTACCTAGAGATTCTAAAATACAAATACCAAACTCTCAACTTGATTCTGAATGCCTGTTTGGGCCAAATATAACTTATTTATAAACACTTATGACCAATAAAGTTTAGATAGACCTCATAATTATACAAACCCATCTTGTTCATAAATCCCTGGGGCTCAATAGTAAAGCCATCCATTGTTTAAGGCTGACGTTCACGTTAGATGTAATACAGAAGAGTTTCTTTTAGATGAAATACTACTCATATTCAGCATATGATTTTTCTCCTTTCTATTTCAGTATCTTTTATTGCCTCTAGCTATATTCTCCTTCAATTCTGCTAGCAATACCTTGTAATTTAAAAATGAAAATAAAAACTCATTCTTTTTTCAACTTTTGGGAAATTTTTGATTAAGGTATAATATTACAGAGGAGGAAAGTTACTATCAGTGATATAGCGTGCCCACAACTTATGGAAGTTCAATATAATTTTTAGTCTCAGCAACTTTCCACTGTTGTAAAATAGTTTGTGCACTTAAACTGCTGACAGGTTACATCCTCAATGGGCTAAGTGGGTGGCCCAAGCCAGCAAGGATTTAGACAATTCCCACAAAGGGGAGAAAGGAAGAAATATTCTTTGTCATGTGAAAATGAGTAGTTTATGAATCTGGGATTTTTTGCTTTCCACCTCCTTTCTGCACTCCTTTCGGCTATTACTGAGTTTCTTGTCTAATGCTCCCCCCAATGCCTAATGGTTAAGA